ACTCTAAGTCTTGCAAAGAAAAGGAAAATAAGTCACGGGCTTGGATGTTTGCGTGGTGAACATACTATTGAAATTGATCGTTCATATTCCCCTATTGTCCACCCACCAAGGATAGTCCTGTTAGCCGTGAAACAGCAGATCAAAGAAGCATTACAGACGATGGAAGATGCTGGTGTTATCGTCAAGCAAACAGAACCCACAGATTGGGTCAACAGCATGGTTACAGTAATAAAACCCGAGAAAATCCGAGTGCGTATTGATCCAAGAGATCTTAATCAAGCAATAAAAAGAGAACATTATCCAATGAGAACGTTTGAAGAAGTTGTTGCTTGAATGCCAGAAGCAAAGTGTTCTCCGTACGTGTTAGACGCCACCCCAGGTGATATCCAGGAACATGATGCAAGGTTGAAGAAAGTCCCCGACCGAGTCTAAGAAGTCAACCTAAAGCTAAACCAGAAGAAGTGCCAAATCAGAAAAGAAGAAATTGCGTATCTTGGTCATCTTCTAACCAAGGACGGTCTTAATTTAAGCCAGATCCCGAGAAAATAAGAGCTGTACAAGCCATGGCCAAACCATCCAACACGAAAGAGTTAAAAACATTTCTTGGGTTTATCCAATATCTCGCAAAGTTTTTACCCAATATGGCCGACGTCAGTGCACCACTTCGAAAGTTGTTGGAAAAGAACACAGCATGGCATTGGGAAAGGCAACAAGAAGATACTTTCAACAACTCAAGAGAATGGCAACCAGTGCTAAGTTATTACGACCCATTGAGTTATGTTGGTTATGTCCGCCGCCCGCCCGACAACGTACAAGTCAAGTCTTTGCTTGACTACTGTATTTGAATTGTAATTGTTTTTCACAGTTCGCTTATCATGTTATCACTCAAATTACTGTATCTCATGTTGTTTCTAATATTTTTTTTTGCTTTATCATGAAAATAGGCCTGGGCTAGGGGGGTGTGCACACATCCCGCAGTAAATCCATCCCAGTATACTGTAAACACGACATGGAATCAAATACCACCAATATTCAAACCTCTGAGAGCTCACCTCAATCTACAGAAGTGCCAGAAATCTTTGATACCTCTCCCTCTGGCCCTATCACAACACAAGAACATGTGGTCGAAATACCTTCTACCAATCAGTATTCTGTTCTAGAGGACGAAGCACAGGAGAACAACAACAAAAAGAATAAAGAACACTTGAACAGTAAAAGAATAAATTTCACACAAAAATATGTGTGAGCGAAACTGTGATACTCTGCGACTCGAATGGATGAATGCTTGACAAAAACCGTTTATGTCCTAACACAACTTGCACATACTTCAAGACTCAAGTGCCCAATAACACTATCAATCGCCAAAAATATCTTGGAAGAAACTCTCTTTGAAAAGACATAAACTGTTATACTACACTGTGCAAGAACCTAGAACTGCACCAAGTAATGAATCACTAGTCTCCAACATTCTAAATGTTGTAGAGATGATTAGTCAAAAACTCCCACAAAATTGAAAAATCATTGTAACCTCTCTCCTCCCTGTTTGGACAAGCTACATCAGAATGTGGGCATCGTGAATCAACTAATTAAGGTTAAACTCTTAAAGAAAGCTAATGTCCATTTTGTCACCCACAATAACCTCTTCCCCTCCAATACTCACCTACGTGACAATAAACACCTGAATAGAGCAGGATTTCTTATTTTTGCAAGAAATCTTAAGTCAACCTTTTACCATATAAGAAATCCCAACCGCACCTTACCAAATCCAATGAATGAAGAAAACCAACAAACACATCACTTCAGACCTTCACATAGACCACTTACACCACCAATTGTCCTACAACCCTCAACTGGATCAGCCTTCCCAAACACTTTCCAATACCCCCGCTTGGTTTCAATTCACCCTTTCTCCCTTCAAATGCCCTCCTCCTACTAACTTAATGAACCACCGACCACCTCCACCTCATCTGTGTTTTTCGGCAAGTCCGCGAGTTGGGATGTGTATAATGAATATAGTAGTGGACCCAATATTGATCCCTGTGGTACACCTTGAGATAACTTAGATTTACGTGATGAAAAGCCCTCCACTTTCACCGCAAATTGTATCCGATCTGACAAATACGATTTAAACCATTCCAGAATTATACCGGAAATTCCATAACGAGCTGCAGATAGATCAAGTGGGACAAGGATATCAGATTTTCCGGCGTTGATAGCCCAAGAAATATCATTATGGACTTTGAGTAGTACAGTCTCAGTACTATGAAATGCTCTGTACGCAGAGTCATAACGTTCATATAATCCATTGCTTCGAGACTACTTTTTCGACAACTTTCGACAAAAAGGCAAGGTTTGAAATTGGTCGAATAAAATCAAGGTTAGAGTTCTTCAAAATAGGTTTTAGCATAGGTCCTTTAAGGGATAAAAAAACACCCATTTGTAGTGATGTATTTACAATGTCAATTACTACAGGATTCAGTACACGAAGCGATTTTTGCAACAACTGAGGTGGTAGTGAATCAAGATGACACGATTTCTTAGCAATTTGAAAGGTTATCGGAAGTAGTTGATCAGATTGTAACTTGAACTGGAAGGATCATGTCTTTGAGTTATGCAAAAAAATATCTAAAGGTATTGGCATATTATTTAAACTTCGTGATTTTGTTTCAATTGATATACTCATTCAAGTTTATTACTCAGTAATCTACCCATTTCTTATGTACGCTGTCCTGGTATGGGGACATACATACAAAAGTAACTTGCACCCATTATTGATCCTGCAAAAGAAGGCTATGAGGATAATGACATTTTCCGGTTTCCGTGAGCACACTTCGCCAATATTTAAGGCATTAAACTTGCTAAAAATTCTGGATCTAGTTTATGTCAATACAGCATCATTCATGTTTCAGTATGGTTCGGGTAATCTCCCGGCTGATTTTTGTGGCTTTTTTACCTTGATTAAAAATAACCATGACTATACAACCCGTTTAGCATTTACAAATGAATATGCTATCCCACCGGTTCGTACAAATTAGTACGGAATATTTAATATTAGATTTTGTGGACCTAAAGTTTGGAGCTCTGTCGATGAATCTTTCAAGTCTCTGTGTCTAAAAACCTTTAAAAGAAAACTTAAAGAACATATAATTGCTTCTTATTAATTCAAAAATTTTAAATGATGAAGATATTTTGGCTCTTTTTTCTATATATTCTTTCTATTTGTTTGCTATTTGTTGGTGTTTTGTTTCTTGTTTCTTGTTTGCTTTCCTATAAAATATTGCATAAAATTGACCAAACCCATTCACTTAGATTTTTGGTCTAATAAAGGTCACCTGACTCGTCTAGCCCCTATGGTTATTTCAGGTGGCCTGTACTCATCAATTGTAATTATCTGAGTATATACTAGTGTGTTGTTATTGTAATGTCCAAGTACAAATAAATGTATTGTTGTTGTTAAAAGACGTAACCACATCAAACTGCTCCAATTTACAAGATGACAGTGGCACATCAGGAATGCAAGTTTGGTGCAACTGAGCGAATTCCATTAGATCTTTATATATTTTATTAATTTTGTCCTCAAAGAAAGTCACGAAATTGTTAGCTAGATTCTCACCAGATTGGCACACAGGATATTGGGGATCAGGGGCATGATATAATAACTTTCCAACTATTTAAATAATTTCCTTTGGTCATTCGCATTATCTGTAACAATTTTAGAGTAGTAACAAGTAGGACTTTCCGATAATAGTTCACTGACACTACGACATTGCTGACTGTATTTTAGACGATCACAGGGTTGTCTCGACTTACGCCATACCCGCTCCAATTTCCTTCTGAGACGTTTTTCGCTTTTAATTTGTTCCGTGTACCACGGTGCAGCTGCACATGGACGAATAATTATCTCTCTACTGATAAGTGCTGCATGATGGTCAAGAATTCTAGAAAGCTCCGAATTGTATTGGTTGACTTTCGCACTTATATTATATCACTTGTGTTCTCAGTGATAATCGGAGATAGCCTAATGTCATTAACGAATGAGTCTATGTTGATTGCTTTAATTTTACGTGACTTCACGACTCTTTTCTGAAACGATGTTTTTTTAAAATTTAGTTCACATGTAACCGTGTAATGGTCAGATATAGATGGATCATAAACTTCAATAGATTGTACAATATTTTCCTCATGGCTAGACAAGATAAGATCTAACGTGTGACGAGCAGAATGTGTTGGTTGTTGTACATGTTGCTCCAGATTAAAAGAGTCAACAAGGTTGAGAATTTTTTTGGTTGTTAATTCAGACTTATTGTCAACAAGAATATTAAAATCTCCAGCTATTATCAGTGACCCCTGCCTAGTCGCATAGACCTCAAGAAGTGATGTAAACTCTTCCATCAGCATCAGTGCAAGATACAGTAGCTAACTCCAAACAACAGTTTTCAACTCATTAATCAAAACAAATATAGCCCCCCCCCCCAGTATAGAGCCTCGTGAGATTTTCGAACCCAAGACCAATCTCGTTCCCAGAGTATGCCTGTTCGCGGGTTATGTAGTGTCATGCTACTACATAACCCGCAAACAGGCATACTCTGGGAACGAGATTCACACAGTTTACGAGGCTACTGCTCTACCCCTGAGCCATCGATGCACAACAGGGATTATTAACATAAGAAATTAAGGAGCAAAACGGAACCCTTTTTATTCTAACGTTTGCGAGCTCTCTCCTTGATTACTTGAAGTGTCTGGCAGCAGACAAAGTAATATATGACTATATATGGCTTAATAAATCGGTTCCAGCCGGATGTTAATTCCGCGGACAAAATAAGAGATTCCGCAGCCAAAATGGCAAATTCGGCCGCCAAAATGAGACATTCTGCGGACAAAATTCAGATGCTTTTAGGCAAAATATCAATATTTACCGCTATAAACAGTAATTGTAGGGTCACTTCAATTTAGATAGTATGGAGCAACGTACTGGGAAGGCAATTACAATACCGGCAAAAATGAGCTAATGAACCTCAAAGCCATTTTGTGCATAGTTTCCAACGATCATATTTCATATTGGCTTATAGTTGTTTTCCCATTTTTCACAATAACCCTCTTCGTAGTTCAAGATAAATTGGGTAACAAAATACAAACGCTGGGGAAGTTAATACTGAACAGATGTTTCATTAGTTCAGTGGTTAGAGCTCTAGTGGTTAGAGCTCTAGTGGTCTTGTAAATCAGGCCTGGGTCCGGATTTCAATTCTCTGATGGAGCTTTCATGTGCGCGCAGTTTTTAAAAAAGAAATCAAAACTGTACGGTTCCGGTGACAAATTTATTTTCCGTGAAAAGATAGTTGTTGTAAAATTTGAAGCTGGATGTTTTAAAAATCGAACAATGAATTGCACAAATTTGGTTTGACTAATTTGGACACAAGAAATCATTATTCGCCATCCACTGTAAACCCACCTCTAAAGAGGTTTGAACTAAAAACAATAATACATCCATAGCAAATTCCAAGTTTCATAACATGTGGAAAACTTTACTGATCGAATATGCGTCATTAGCTCAAGGGTTAGAGTGCTGGTCTAATAAACCAGGGGTGAAGAGTTCAAATCTCTGATGAGGCTGCAATTCTTATTCTTTAAAGCGAACTGGATAAAGGATTTCGTAATTTAAGTTTTCCAAAGTTTTCCACTTCCTCATACTCATTGCAGTATAGCTAACTCCCAACAATTTTTAATTTCAATTCACTAAAGAAAACAAAGAAATTTTAAAACCTCATGAGAGATTCGAACTCTCCATATTCAGGTTATGAGACTACTGCATGCTCTACCCCTGAGCTAATGAGGAACAACTTTCTGCGACCGTACTTTGATTGTGAAAGATTTATTAACGCATGATTGATTGCAGTCTCAACTGTTCAAAAGCACGTGCAAGAAATTTAATTTGCTGTAAGTCCATTATTTTTGACATCCCCCGCTTATAATTTGCAATAAATTCCTCCTATAAATCTCTTCTACTTTTCCCCACCCCAGTTCAATGTTGACTTTTATCCCACAAATTCTGATAACGTGGGTTGCCAACTCTACGTAGAACTAATAAGCAAAAATTCCCGTAACCACAAAATTATCATTGCTCCATCTAGAATACCTAAAAATTCCGAAAAATACCAACCATGGCATTTTATAAATGATTTAAAAATATTAACCAAACTAGAAATACAATTGTATTCCATAGTCCATACACTCGCTTTGACACAAAGAGCACAATTCAAAACAATAAAAATGCAATGTTTGCATCAGAAGTTCTTATTTTATGTTCTATTCGAAATCGTGGGTTAGAATCAATAGCCGTTTTCACATTAGAAGACGGACAAGTCGTCTAGTCGAACAAATCGTCTCAAAATCGTCTTTTAGTCGGACAAATCACCAGATGTGAAAACGTGTCGGACAAAATTTTAGACGAACAAGTCGTCTGAATTTGTTCGACTACTTGTCCGTCTGTGAAGACGATTTTTGAGAGACGATCAGTGGCGTGCTGGCAGGGGGGCCACGGCTCCCCCAGCTGGCAATTTTTGGGGGGCGCGAAAATGAAAAGGGGGCGCCGATCCCGCGCCGAATTTTGAAAGTAGGTGGGAAGAAACGCATTCGAAAAAATATAGTTACTAATTCCGCCAAGGAAAGATGTGTTTATAGACTTATAAACAGACTAAGCGCATAGGCGACAAAGTGAGTATATTAAATTGCAGACTGTTTTGTCCAACCGTATTTGCTACTGACGATCCACACGAAATCACTCGTTCATATAGAAACATGATTAGTGATCACACGCAATGTCTCATTACCGGAATATTGATCAGGCTTCGAAGCGAATAAGCGATCACGGGAATTATGCCCTTTTTTGCTGGTATTATACTCTTATATTATGCCCTTTATTATGCTTCACGAATCACGAGAGCGGCGCAAATTAGATAGTTGAAGTTATGATAATGTAAAGTTGTGTACGCAATTTAGTTGTTTGCGCAAGAAACATGAGTAATGTAAGTAATGAGATAATGATGAAACACGCCCTTTTGGCAGCCAGGAAAGGAAACCTTAAAATGCATATGCGTGGGGTTCGTGTGTTATTGTATAAAAGAGCTGTAAATTGTAAATGTATTCAGATCAGTAGAGAATAGAATTGGGATTAGATTAATTGCTGGAAGTAGTTAGCATTGCCCAATTTAAGTGCTACTACTAAATTCTAACCAATTTTCAAATTTCGACACGTTGTAATGCCGTTTCCTGACCATCAGATTTCTGTCAAATCTTCCCCCAAAGTCCAGGAAATGGCATTTCAGAGACTCTAAATTCAAAAATTTTCCCGGGGCCATGCCCCCGGACCCCCCTAGACAAACCTCGCACCTGCGACGCTCGGCTCGTGCCTTCGGCCCTCGTTTAACAAGGGTAATATTATAGGGGCGCATATTAGTTGCCAGCCGACTGGCCTCCCCAGAAAAATAGTACCCAGCACGCCACTGGAGACGATTTGTTCGTCTAGACGACTTGTCCGTCTCTAATGTGAATAGGGCTAATGGATGATTCCAGGTATAAACGAAATTTTGATCAAGACAAGAAGAAGGAAACCATTACCATAGTTGGAATGAGCATCTTAAAATGAGTAAAATTGCAAAGTTTGGTTGCGAATTGTTGTGAAATGAGGAAATTTTGTATATGCTGTATTTGCATTACGCGTGGGAAAAATAACCATTTTTGAGCCGAAAGTGGTTATTTTACCGCGCGTAATACAAATATATACAAAATTTGCGAACTTCACAGGGCTATATTTTAGTCTTAATTTTACAAAATTTAGCAACCAAACTTTGCAGTTTACTCATTCTAAGACGCCCTTTCTAGTTGTGGTGTTGGATTTCGTTCTTCTTGCTTTGATCAAAATTTTGTCTATATGACTGGAATCACCAATTAGGAAAGTTTGAAACTTCTTCACTTATAACTTTTATTTGTCCCATTTCCTAAATAAACACAAAGACCAATACTCTGACTTTGTAGTATTTACTGTATAGATCAAAGATATATACTCAGGTGAAAGAAAATCAATTTACATTCACTTGATCACAAAGTAGGATATTTTCGTTTGCATTTTAGCCGGCGAGCAGTAATTTGACGACTTCGTTGTTTGCATAAATGGTCTCGCATTGTTCATGTATTTTGGGGGCTAAGTCCCCCTCACTTTTACTTCGGGGTGGGGGGGGCTAAAGTTCCCCTCGCACCCTCCTCCTGTTCCGCCGCCACTGAAAACTGTATGGTTGCGGTGACAATTTTTTTTCCGTGAAAAGATAGTCGTTGTAAAATTTGAAGCTGGATGTTTCTAAAATCAAGCAATGAGAATTCTGGAATTTAGATATCTTGCAACGGCACTGTAAGATCTTGATTTAAGTAATTTGGACACAAGAATTCATTATCCACCCTCCACTGTGAAACCACCTCTAAAGAGGTGTTGAACTAAAAACAAAAATACATCCATCGAAAATTAAAAGTGTTCATGACATTTTAGGAAAAGGTTTACTGAACGAATATGCCTCATTAGCTCAGGGGTTAGAGCACTGGTCTAGTAAACCAGGGGTCCAGAGTTCAAATCTCTGATGAGGCTACAATTCATATTTTTTAAGCGAACTGGATAAACTGGATTTCGTAATTTAAGTTTTCCAACGTTTTGCATTTATTCAGACTCAGTGCAGAATAGCTAACTCCCAGCAATTTTTCACATTTTAATTCACTAATGAAAACAAAGAAATTGATAGAGCCTCATGAGAGATTCGAACTCACGACCTTCAGTTTACGAGACTACTGCTCTACCCCTGAGCTAATGAGGCACAACTTTCTGCAACCGTACCAAAATTTACTCCGTGTGTTGTGACCCGATATCGTTCACTTTCATTAAGCATGTCTTAGATCTGAAATAGTTTAACGGGACCTAACACTTTCAAGGACGCTGATTTCAAATCCGAAAAGTTCCCACTCCGTAGACCGGCAGTTTTCTCACAACAGTGCTATTGTATCTTCAATAATTTCACGACAAAGTTTTCATTGTTCAACGACACGGATCGATGACGATACACGATTATGTCACTCAAAAGGACCAATTTTTATCAACCAGTCTTCCTTTTAACAAAAGACCGCTTTTGCTCGAATCATTTTGAGTTATGCAATCTTATGCGTGTTGGACGTAAACAATTATCACTTATTTACTGAGACCGAGGGAAACAGTGTGTTTTGTGGACCCGAGACCGTCAATATCAATAGTCAAAGAAACAACAAATTAAAGAACAAATGAACGTAAATACATGAAATATTTTATTGTTAAAACGTTATATTAAACACTGGCTACACTGCAGTTACTTACAGCGAAAGTTTTAATTACGTACTAGACAATTGTACTAGACATGTCCAAAGGTCGCATCTTCACGTGATGGCGCACGTGATTTTTTTTTGTTATTCGCCGGTCGATACTAGATAGCTTAAGATCTACGACGTCGACGTTAGCTAGGACGTCAGGGCTAAGCAGAGGACTGGGACTACATTAGGACGACATCCTAGTCCCAGTCCTCTGCATAGCCTGACGTCCTAGCTGACGTCGACGTCGTAGATCTTAAGCTATCTATTATCTCCCTCTCGCGCTGTTGCAAGGGAGACAGCCTAATTTCGTCACTCTCACGTGGTATGCTCTCAACCAATAAAACACTAGAAAAATGCGACTTTGACTATTGATATATAATAACATATCTTGTCTACAACTTTGAGAAAGTGCAGACAACGCTTTCTAAAATCCTCAGTTCTAGAGATATCTCTATAAAATCACAAGGACATTTATAATGCGAAGTTTTGGGTTTGTCACTGGCCTGAAAAATAACTCTTTTAACGCGATCAAGGCAAGTAAAACAAAAGTAACACGAAGCCAAAGTAACGGCAAAATATAAAAATATGCTCTGTAAATGTACGACGAAGTGGAGAAACGTGTGCATGAGTTGTTTATTTGGTGATTTCAACGTATGTGGAAGCCCTCTTTCCAATAATATTCGCTTATCGCACAGTATATATAACATATACTAACACCAACTGATGTAATAGTTCAAATGCAATGATAAATTATCTCTTGAATTACATCTCAGAAACTGTGTTGGAAATTTAAATGCTGATCCATTACATATAGATTACCGTTTTACATCGTTCTATAAAACATTTTGATCGCATGTAAGCAATTATATCTCAGCCCAGAGACATAGCCCAAAGACTAACATTAACGTGTTTGTAATAAAGAGATACATCCAGAACTAAGAATATTATAAAGAATTATCTGTACCTTCTCAAAGTTGTAGACAAGATATGTTGTTTACGTCCAACACGCATAAGATTGCATAACTCAAAATGATTCGAGCAAAACCGGTCTTTTGTTAAAAGGAAGAATGGTTAATAGAAATTGGTCCTTTTGAGTGACATAATCGTGTATCGTCATCGATCCGTGTCGTTGAACAATGAAAAATTTTCCTGTAAAATTAGTAAAGATAAATTAAAATTAAATAGGAGTTTGTGAGAAAACTGCGGGTCTATGGAGTGGGAACTTTTCGGATTTGAACTCAGCGTATTCGAAAGTGTTAGTTCCCGTAAAAATATTTGAGATCTAAGACATGCTTAATGAAAATCGTTTTCTAAGCACTTTTCGAGGTCACAACATACGGACTATATAGGTCTCATGCTATCTCAGTGAAAAATAGGCCTTCCAGAGGAGGAACGTTCGCTCGAAAGGCCAAAGTTCTGCTTATATTTTTTCAGGTAGTTAAGTTGTATCCCTCTCAATCCGCAGCTGTTACCTTTTAAATTAACCTGGCAACGTACTGGACAGTGGATCAGTACGATTCTTTCAGTGAAATATAATAACTATTATTATATGGCTTTCCAAAATTCTCTATTCTGATTGGTTGACAAGCGGTCCGTAAAAATCCATATCCGGACCGTGGTCCGTATATTTTGCGTATATGGACCGGTATCCCGGATGTCGTTTATCTGGCGGGAAATTTTTGCTTTGCAAACAGAAAAAATTTTGCTTTTTAATTTTCCAATTGTGTGTCATTAAAATTTACAGATAAAAATTTTAAACAATCAAATTGTTTTTGATTGAGCATGAATGCCTACCGTATATTGTTACCCAGTGAAACTGACGATAGCTGATTTAATTTAAAAATTAAACGAGACTTACCTGTAAGTTGAAGTTTGATTGTAATTCCATGAGTTATCAGTAAGGAACTAGGGAGTCACATGAGATATGCATGCGCAGATCGAGTATTCAGCCTTTGAAGCAGTAGTGATTGCACCCAACAAGGGTGGGCTTGCCAGCTCTAGTTTGGCCACATAGTGTGTTGGGTGGGTGACTCCCTAGTTCCTTACTGATAACTCATAGAATTACAATCAAACTTCAACTTACAGGTAAGTCTCGTTTAATTTTTAAATTCTATTTCGTCATCAGTTACGTCACTAGGGAGTCACATGAGACTTCAAAGCCGTGCAATCACTACAAATTCTGGAACAAAGATTTATTGTATAACAGTACAAAACCAAAGTGTACGTAGTAACAACTAGAAATTTGTGTGGTATATGCCACAGTCTAACAGTATGTTAGTTTAAACATTAACATAAACAGAGTTTAATAAAGTTTCACCAAAATTGGTGTCCTGGTCAATGATGGGCTTTTTGTAGAACTTCGCAAAGGTATTTTCACTTGACCAACCAGCACTAGCCATGATAATGTCTATCGGTACCTGATTTAGGTTTGCCGCTGATGTGGCAGCAGCTCTAGTGCTATGAGCTTTAAATATTGAAATGTCAATTTTTGCCTGTTGTAAGACAGTTTTTATCCACCTCGATATGGTATCTGTTGAGACCGCTTTGTGGGGTTTTTGGTGAGCCACAAGGAGCTGTTTTGTGTTTTCCCTGATTCCCTTTGTGCGTTGTATATATTCCAACAGGTGATGTAGGACACATAATTGTTTGTCCAGAGGAAAAGCCTTAAAGCACAGTTTTAGTGGTTTGGAACCAGGTTTCGTGGTTTTCAGTAGTTTGTTGATGTGGAAAACACACTCATCATCACCAAGTTTCATGCTGTCAATACTTAATGATTGCAGAGTCTGGCATCGCTGTCCAGACAAAAGTGCCATTAGCATGACAAGCTTTAGAGTCAAGTCTTTCAGTGACAGTTCTTTGGCAATTTTAGACTGTTTAAGATGATTTAAGACAATATTCATGTCCCATATATCTTGGTATCTCGGCAGACTTGGTCTCTCTGTGAAGACTCCTTTCAGGAACCTGGACACTAGAGGGTGTGTACCAAAACTAAAATGATCAGACATGTTTGTTATTGATGAAAGTGCACATCGTGCAGTGTTGATGGAACTGTACCCGACACCCGAGTCCAGAAGTTCTGCGAGAAAATTAATGCCATCTCTCACATCAGGACAAATGGGATTAATATCCCTTTTACTACAGTAGCATATCCATCTCTTAATGTGGCAAGCATATTGCTTTTTTGTCCCTGTTCGCCAAGAGTTTTGGATGACTCTTGAAGCTGTATCCGAAAATCCCTGCTTTTTGAGCTGATCCCCGACAAGTGGCATATCAGCAGGCAAAGCTTTGGATACATGGGGTGTATCTCGTTGGGTTGGTTGGGGAGGGATAATAGTTCCTTGCTTTTTGGCAAAACAATTGGCTGTTGGACAACCATGTTCATTGCTTTCGGCCACCATATCTGTGTTGGCCAATATGGGATCACTAGGATCCCTGAGGCTTGATCTTCTTGGATTTTCTGTAGCACTTGCATTATCACGCTAAATGGTGGGAAAGCATAGAAAGCAAATTGAGCCCAAGTCATGTGAAAGGCATTAATGGCAATTGCTTCAGGGTCTGGTCTAAATGCTACATAGGGTTTGAATTGATGGTTGATTCTGGAAGCAAATAGATCAATGTCTGGGGTAAACCTGAGCATGTTACATGCCAAGGTAAGTATGTCTTTGTTAAGACACCATTCAGTCCCCCAATTGAAAGACCGAGACTGAAAGTCTGCTTGACAGTTTTCAACCCCTGGTATGTGTGCCATCGTTATCCATATTTTCTGGCTTTCACACCACTGCCAAATTTGTTTTACTAGTTGATTTAATTTTGCACTATGGCTGGTTCCCATTTCTCTTATGATGCTTTCAGCAGTGGTATTATCTACCATGATCATTACATGGTTGCCACTTAGAATATGCCGAAAGGATTTAAGTGACAGAAAAACTGCTAGTGTTTCAAGTAATTTATGTGTTCATAAGACTCAGTTTGGGCCCAGAGTCCACCAGTTGTTTTGTCACCCAATGCACATCCCCATCCCAGTTTTGAAGCATCTGTCTGTATGGTTATGTTGGGTTTCCCCCTATGCACTGGGTTGAATGCAGTGTCAATGTTATCTATCCACCACACAAGTTCTTCCTTGGCTTCAGCAGAGAGTTGCATAGTGGCATCAAACTTTCCTTTGTTGTGTTTAAGTGCTGCAATTTTGTCAGCTTCAGAAAGTCTGTAGTATAGTGGTCCCATTGCAACACCTGGAAAGTTTGAGATGAGCAAGCCTATTACCCTAGCAACCTCACGGATAGTAGGGTATTCTTTCGTAAGGAGTTCCTTACATGTTTCTATGAGCTTCAACTTCTTTCCAGGTGTTACAGTCACCCGCATAGTTTTGGAGTTCAGTGTGAAACCAAGATAGTCTAATTCTTGAGTGGGGATGAAGACAGATTTGTCAGGGTGTGCTATAAACCCCAAGTTGTCTATGAGCTGTGTTGTGTCAATCACATTAGCTGCACAGTCATCATAGGTTTGACCTGTTAGTAATGAGTCATCAATGTAAGGGGAGGATTGGTGACCCAATTTCCTGAGGTAACAAAACACTGGCTTCATTAGTTTTGTGAACTTGCGTGGGCAACAGGCTAGGCCGTTGGGGAAGCAAGTAAACTGGTACAGTGACCCATTCCACTCAAATTTTAGGTATTTGTGGTGGAAGCTTGCTATTGGGACACAGTAGTATGCATCCTTCAGGTCTATTGATGCCATAAAACAGTTTGGTGTCAGCAGTCTAATGGCTGACTGAATAGATTCCATTTTGAAATGATGGTATTGAACATGAGCATTTAGTCGTTTGAGATTGAGGATCATTCTGTATGATCCATCTTTTTTCTCCTTTAGAAATATGGGGGAGATATACTCTCCCGGTTCATGTTGTGATTTTTCTATTATACCCTTTCTCAGAAGTTTGGCAATTTCATTATCTACCTCAGCAAGGTGAGTGGTCTGATATGTTTTAGGAGTATAAGTTTGATGAGGTTCGGTCGAGAATTCAATGTGAAGTCCACGAACCGAATCTAAAACCTCTGGGTCAGAGGTAATCTCATGCCATTTGGCAATGTGTTTTGATATTTGACCACTCTGGAAGTGCATAATTTTGGTCTGAAAATATGATTTCATATTTGTAATATTTAAGGCGAGGTTACTCACCTGTAAAGAACTGAGGGGATGTATATTGCTGCTGGAGTTTGTTACTGATTTTTTCGGTTTCGATTCCACTGGTTTGGTTTCCTTGGTGGAGGCGGTTTTTGGCGCTGTCTGGGGCCCTTGGATAAAAAATGCTTCTTGTCGTAATCTGATCGTGGTCGCCATTGTTGTGTATTTTTATATTGTTTTCTCGCATCGCTGATTGTGTTGCTAACTTTGTTTGTAGCTCGTATATTTGTTAGTTGACCCTGTAGGTCATCCCCAAATAGGAGGGATGTAACTGGAACATGCGAGGCGCAAAGCGTCGTGTATTCTTTGTTAAGATGCGGTTTTAGCGTTTCCCGCCTTCGTTGTGACATTTCACACGACGCGTGTCCCAGCAGAGCAAGGGCGTCTGTGTTGAGTGTGATAAGCTCTCGGTACTCGGGCTTCGAGTCTTTTTGATAAAGTGACAAAAGTTTGTCGGTTGATTTTGCCAGGACAACTCCAGCTTTGGCCAGATTAGCTTGGTTTGTGCTGGCGCGAAGGTCCAACTGTTTTGCAGTGTGGTCTATTCTCGCCCAGATTTCTGGGTTAATGCGTGGCGCCACAAGTCTGTCACAGTTGTCTGGGCGGGGATGTTGATCCCGCTTTTCTTTCAGCTTTTGATCGCTCAGTTTTTCAGACCAACGCTTATTGATTATGGTAGCGAGTTTCTCTGTGATAGCCGGGCCCATATCGTCCTCCTGAGAGAAACCATTTTCAATTTCTGACAGCAATGAGTCATTGCAATTGTCAGTGTCTTGCTCGAGTCGAGCGTTTGTGGTTTGAGAGCTTTCTGCCGAGTCGGCATTTGATGGGCCACAAAGTGCCCGTGTATCTTCGTCGCTGCTCTGGTTTTCTTCTACTTCCTCAGGTCCAGTTGTCTCTGTAGCCAGGCGAGGTTTCTTTCGTTTCGCCGGAGGTGTCTTGTCTTCGTGGAGACGTTTTAGCGATTTTTCCATGATCGAGCCAACCATTGTATGTAAGGATTGGTTTAACTGCCGTAGAAAACTGCTTGATTTCGCCGTTAAGTCGTCATTCTCGTTGGATCCGTCGATGTCCACTTCGGCAAAGAGGTCGTCTTCCTCACTTTGACCGGACGATACTTCGGCAGTCGGTTTTTCAACTTTTTCTGAATCGAAATTCTCCATGATATAAAACTTGCAACTGAATACTTTGAACGACACGTGCAAAAGTGAATACTCGATCTGCGCATGCATATCTCATGTGACTCCCTAGTGACGTAACTGATGACGAAATAGAATTGAAAGTTGTCTTAAAGTTGTCCCATAGTATATTTGGCTCATCAGTCCCCCAATCTACCAATGACAACGCCGCATACAGATCTTGGTTAAAGTTTTGTTGGAGGTAACTCTTATAATCCCTTAACTCGATAACTTTATTATGATTACTATTAAGGCTAAAGGAATTTTTTCTACAGATATAGATCAGACTGTGATCACTAATGCCAACATGTAAAACGCCCGACTGTAAAATATTTTCGGGGTGACTTACAATCGCTACATCCAGAAGAGTTGCAGTGCTATCAGTAATTCGTGTTGGGTGTTCAATGACCTGGGTCATTTGAAATAGATTAATTATTTCATTGAGTCTTTTGGTATGATTGCTTAAATTATTCTTCAAAAGGTCGCAATTAAAATCGCCAACAATGATCAATTCCTTATGTTCACTATCAAGATTTTGAAATAAGATTTTGATTTTCTCAAAGTACTCAATTCGCGAACTTGGTGCACTATAAACAGATGTAATTAAGATAGGCTTGGATTTTGGCTTAATAACGTCAAGGCATATTGCCTCGATATTATCCGGGATCAAATCTTCTCTATTTATAACATTCAAAATACTGCGGTAGTAAACAGCAACACCGTCGCCCTCCCGGTTACGACTATTTGCAATCATATCATAGCCAGGTATGCCAACAATTTCCGAACTTATTGTTTCGTCTAATCTACTTTCATTTATACTTAGTATGTCGAGCAGGCTCTTTTTCAAGATATATTTTCAGTTCATGTGTGAGCAATGAAGCAATATTCAAATGACCAACTCTAAATCCTTTCAGCGATTGTAGGTATTTATATTATTTACTTTTTCAGAATGTGGAAAATTTTCACATGCATAGGGACTTAACTCCCTATCAGTTGAACCTCTGCTGCTAAAGACTGGAAAACTATTTAGGTTAAAATGATGAGATATTTAATAATATTCCTTGCGAAAATGGAGGATCCATATCTGTTCAGATGTAAATGAGATCTATTTAGCGACGTGTTCGTTATATTATTATGCGTTATTAAGCTTAAATTAGTTGCGGTGCAATAGTTTTCTAACAATTTATTTACCTCATTTACCGTTTGTTTGGCTTTCTCGTTGTCTTCTCGTTTCGTCAATTCTGACAGTACTATTTCGACATCAGGAGCCGCTTCTTTAATTTCTTGGCATAATCTATCAATATCGTTCATAATTTCAGTCGCTTTTCTTTTGGAGGTATCATTTGTTCCCACGTGTAGAATAATATTGTCTGGCTTTCGTCTTAAAATGGGTTTAACATAATCACTCATGTCGCCTACTGTAGATCCTGGAAAGCACTTAAGGTTACAGGATACCCTGGAACGTAAAAATTTTGATTTTTTTTTTCTTTATATATTCTTGTTGCTTTTGAGCATGCCTGTCGTCTGGAAAAAAATGTAAATCAGTATCTTTAAAATTAAACAAGTTATTTAGTAAAACGTATTTGAAGTCTATATGTTTGGCGGAAAATGTGTTTGACAGAAAATCGACACCTTGTGCAATTCAATTAGTGTATATGTCATCTCGTATTCGGTTATCACAACAAGCGGTTGTATAGACGCACATTTCTCTTGCACTGAAATCTTTGCTGAAAAAATGCCGCGAATAAAAGCTGATTCTGGCAAAAGCAATAAAACCCTTTTTGCGGCCATCGGAAGAAACTCAAACCCCAGACCGACAATTTGTTCACAGAGGAGAGAAAGAAATCACTGGAAGAAAGTGACCCTAAAACCATTCTGTAGAGATGAATCAATCACCCATAAAGGCCATAATTTAGAACAGTTTGCCTAATATTTACTAGCATAATTATAGAATATAATATGTAAGTATATTTACATGAGTATGTTTATCATAATATAACAATGCCTTTTAAAACATATATATTTAAACCTAATTATTATAGACATATTATAGTCATATTTGACTAACACTATAATAGTCTACACACAACTTCGGGATCTTCAAAGCTTCACAAAAGATGTCCAGCTCAATATTGTAAGCATCCTAGAAGCAGAATAAAAAATTGATTTGGCGACTTATCATTTTTGCCATATTTACTTTATTAGAATTAGCCCTTTCGTTCCCTACGCGGCTTTTATAGAGACCTTTGGTTTTGCGCACAGAATATCAAACCACTTCTCTTATCTCTCCTTTTACATCACCGCGATAACGCTCGGGAAATTTAGTACCTCGACAGGATATCCATACGCCGCATCCTTGGGACCGATTGCCTGTTTCTATAAATGAACGAAAATTTAATGACATTTTACAATAAAGCCTTTTATTTCCAAAAACATTGCGATGCGCGGCGTACTAAAAACGCAAATTGTGCAAAAATCCAGCGAACCAGGTGCAATTATGTATATAACTGGTTGTAAACTTACGATCAGCGCGTGTGCCCATCCACAACAAAAAAATACCGTACAATTCTAGGAGGTTTACCACGCTTCTTTAGCCGATCTTCAACACCAGCCTCAATATTCTTGATAAAGTTTGTTCCATCGTAACTCAGGTAACTGAAGAGAGAGAACAAATGCATGGCTTTCTATAACGTCACTGACTAGCAAAATATCGTCGAATCAAAATGCGATAAACTAAGTTTCCTTACCCTTTAATTAAGGCGTTATATCTTTCATCGTTGCCATTAGTTTTTCTTTGTGGTCCACATCGCCATCAGCTGAACTCTTTGAGATTCTGCGCTTTTTTGTGGCGCGTTGGTTTGTCTTATTTTAAGCCTCAGCTTTTTCTTTTCGTTCAGGCATGACTTGATTATATATTGTGGTCTTACCGAAAACGTTATCTGTCATCGGATTAACTTTATAATGACAGTACGTCACAGTAGGCGGAGTACCTGATTACACTGAAAGAAAACCCGCGAAATTTTCAAAGCGCGTTTTGAGGCACTTGAGTTTTGAGTCGAATATACGCACTAAATAAAGTTTGTTAAGCGTGCGTTTCAACCGATTTTTGTCAAATTTCCACACAGCATAGATACATATTTCGGCTACAAAACGGTGTGCGCGCGAGCTTTTTATTCAAATAATAAGCAAGTTACAAGCTTTTTGTTGGCAATTAGTTGCAATATAGCATAGGTCTGGAATGAATATGCCGTAACTCATGAACCCCTAAAGCAACTACAAAACGCGAACACCGTTTTTTAGAACAACCTTTGAGAAGAGTAAAAATGATATTTTTATAGGATTTGAGTAAAACCGGCTTCTAACAAACTTCACGGCGCGGAATTACCGCGATTTTAGACTTCGGCAAATATCTGAATAAGTATTTCTTCTTTCGTACATATGATAAGAACATCTTATACAACATTTATCTAACTACATTTGGTGAAAATTTGATGGAATTTGGATTAAAATTGATCGAGTTACAGCGGATCTCCCGAAAGGCATGTCTAGGGTATCCTGTAACCTTAAAAATAGCCCGTGGCCTCAATTTCAAA